GCTGAGCTAAGCTAGGAGGCGCTGAGCTAAACTAGGAGGCGATGAGCTAAGCTACGACGCGCTGAGCTAAGCTAGGGGACGCTGCGCTACGGGTAAAGGAGGACATCAGGTGGCATACCTGTCTATCAGCACCTGTAGGGTCATCTGTTTGAATCTGAGGTCAGAGGTTAAGGAGCATCAGGCTAAAGTCCAGCAGAAACATGAATGAACCGACCCAGGGAGGCGGAGCCCCAGCTCCCATGATGCACCACGGCAGGATACTGAGTGTGAGTGAGCGGCATCCCCACGCTGCTGTCCCTGACGGCGTTCAGCACCCGCAGCTCCCTGCAGGTCACCACGAACTGCTCCGGACTGAAGTCCGTCAGAAAACACTTGCCGAAGGACGCCGCCTAATGAAAAGACGCCACGTCACACACAGACTGAGCCGCCATGGTTCTGGTACTGGTGTTCTCACCCTCATCAGAGCCTTCTGGGTGTCAGGGTCGTACTCGTGCGCCGCTGCCTCCACACACTGCCGCACGGCGTCTCCCAGGACGTCCTGCTCCTTGATCTCCCTCAGGTACTCATCCGCCTTCTGACTGGACTTCTGCTCAAGCAGACGGGAATCAGAACCGAGGGTCCAGACCCCCTCCGGCAGCCCCTTAGGCGGCCTACCTACCTCGTACTCGCGGTGGGCCTCCAGCAGCAGCGCTCCAGGAGCCATGGAGGCGATCTTGAAGATGTCCTGGCAGACCAGAGGAACCTCCTGCAGCAGCTCCTGGCTGCAGGGAGCGATGATCCGGACGCCGTCCAGCTCCCCCACCAACACCGAGCGCTCCTCCATGGGGAACCTGGCTTACAGTTAAGGAGGACTACAGCAGGCTACCCTAGAACCGCTCCCAGAACCGCTCTGAGCCCACAGGCTACCCTAAGACCGCTCCTAGAACCGGTCTGAGCCGACAGGCTACCCTAGAACCGCTCCTAGAACCACTCTGAGCCAGCAGGCTACCCTAGAACCGCTCCTAGAACCGGTCTGAGCCAACAGGCTACCCTAGAACAGCTCCTAGAACCACTCATATAACCGCTCTGAGCCGGCTGGCTACCCTAGAACCGCTCCTAGAACCACTCTGAGTTGGCAGGCTACCCTAGAACCGCTCCTAGATCCGCTCATAGAACCGCTCTGAGCCGGCAGGCTACCCTAGAACCGCTCCTAGAACCGCTCTGAGTTGGCAGGCTACCCTAGAACCGCTCCTAGATCCGCTCATAGAACCGCTCCTAGATCCGCTCCTAGAACCGCTCCTAGATCCGCTCTGAGCCGACAGGCTACCCTAGATCCACTCCTAGAACCGCTCTGAGCCGACAGGCTACCCTAGATCCGCTCCTAGAACCGCTCTGAGCCGACAGGCTACCCTAGATCCGCTCCTAGAACCGCTCCTAGATCCGCTCCTAGATCCGCTCTGAGCCAGAGGGAAGGATACTGGATGGTGTCGTTACACGCTCCCACCACCAGGAGGAGTCTGTCCCACATCAGGACCACGGAGGGCTGCTGGGACCTGGGCCTGCGGCACCTGGAGGGGACAGAAGCTGCTGAGACACGGTCCAGCTCAGTCAGGGGGACCCAGACGGGTCGGCTAGTGGACCTACCAGACCATCTGTGTGGGCGGAGCTGTCCTTTTGATGTCCACTTCGCTCAGTCTTTCCTGCAGACAGAAGCACCTGTCAGACCCCCACAGCTGAGGCCACGCCCACTAAGAGCTGCTGCTCACCTGCAGGTTGGACAGGCCGGTCCACAGGTGTCCCGCCTCCGTGAACAGAGCCAGGTACTTATAGCTGAAGGAGACGGCCATGTGGACGATGCTGCCAGCCTGAGGACTGAGACCTGGGGGGTACTGGAGACACACAGGGAGGACGTCAGACAGGTGGGGGACAGTAGCTCACCTGTCTGTCCGTCCGTCCGTCCATCCGTCCTACCACAGCAGTGCAGGAGGTGTTGTCCAGGACATAGAGTTCAGCTCCACTGGACACCAGGACTTTGGTCTGTCTGTCCTGGGTCAGGACCACCCAGCAGGACGGCTTCCCCTGGAGACCTGAGGGGACAGAGACAGCTGGAGGACACCTGGAGGACACACAGGCCTACCTGGATGTTGAGCTGTCCTCACCTGGGACCTCAGGTAACCTGCGGAGCTTCAGGTCCTCGATGTTGGTCGCCAGGGTGAAGCGGGAGGAGCCTGTTACTATGGCAACGCCAGTTCCATAGGGAGAGTGAAAGACCTTGGCCTCCAGAACCTGGCTCTGGACCACTTCCTGTTTGACACGAGGACACCCGTCAACCGGTTCAGCAACACTCCCGTCCCACAGATTGGACTCACCTGTCCCCTCCTAAATGGACCCACCTGTCCCGTCCTAAATGGACCCACCTGTCCCGTCCTTAATGGACCCACCTGTCCTTAATGGACCCACCTGTCCTAAATGGACCC